TCACCCAACTGCTGCAGAATACATTCTTTTCATCAGAATACGGAACATTGTCCAGAACAGACCATGTCTTAGGCTATAAAACAAGTCCAAACAAACTTAAAAAAAAAAAAAAAAAAAAGCCAGGAAAAAAAAATCATATCAAGTATCTTTCCTGACCACAATGGTGTAAAACTAGAAATCAGTAAGAGGAACCTCAGAAAATATACAAACACATGGAAATTAAACAGCATGCCCTGAATGACCAATAAGTCAGTGAAGAAACTAAGAAGTAAATTAAAAAATTCTTGAAACACAAGTGAAAATGGAAATACAAGACAAAAAATCTGTGTGATGTAACAAAAGCAGTACTAAGAGGGAAGTGGAGAGCAATAAATGTCTATATCAAAAAAGTAAAAAGCCTTCAAATAAATAACTCAATGATGCACCTCAAGGAACTAGAAAAGCAGGAATGAATCAAACCCAAAATTAGAAGAAAAAGAAACGATGATGATCAGAGCAGAAATAAATGAAACTGAGACCAAAAAAAATACAGAAGATCAACAAAGCAATGAGGTGGTTTTTTGAACAGATAAAGAAAATCGACAAACCTTTAGCTGGACTAAGGAAAAGAGAGAAGATCCAAATAAATAGAATCAGACATGAAAAAGGAGACATAGCAACTGGGACCTAAGAAATATGAAGACTCATTAGCGACTATTATGAACAACTATATGGCAACAGATTGGAAAACCTAGAAGAAATGGATAAATTTCTAGATACATACAACCCACCAAGAACGAAATATGAAGAAACAGAAAACTTCAACAAAATAGTCATGAGTAATGAGATCAAAGCTATAATAAAAACTCTTCTATCAAAAAAAGTCCACGACCTGAAGGCTTCACTTGAATTCTGTCAAACATGTAAAGAAAACTAATACTGATCCTACTCAAACTCTTCAAAAAAAAAAAAATTGAAGAGGAGGAAATACTTCCAAACTCATGCTACAAGGCCAATATTACTCTGATACCAAAAGCAGACAAAGTGACAACAGAAACAAAAACTACACGCCAATATCACTGATGAACATTGATGCAAAAATCCTCAGTGAAATACCAGCAAACCGAATTCAACAACACATTTAAAAGGGGACTGAAAAGATTGTTCACCATGATTAAATGTGATTCATCCTAGGGATGCAGATGGTTCAACATACGCAAATCAATCAACATGATATATCACATGAACCAAATCAAGAACAAAAACCATGATTATTTCAACAGACTCCAAAAAGCATCTGATATTCAACATGCCTTTATGATTAAAAATCCTCATCGAAATCAGTATAGAAGGAACATACCCCAAAATAATACACGCCATATATGAAAAACCCATATTAGCATTGTGCTGAATTGTGAAAAACTGAAGGCCTTTCCTCTAAGGACCAGAACAAGTAAAGGATGCCCACTTTCAGTATTATACAACATAATATTGGAAGTCCTGGCTGGCGCAATTGGGCAAAAGAAAGAAAGGGCATCTGAATTGAAAAGGAAGAAGTCAACTTAGCCTTGTTCACAGATGACATAATCTTATACCTAGAAAAACCTAGACACCACCAAAAAACTGTGAGAACTGATAGATGAATTCAGTGAAATTGCAGAATTTATCAACATACAAAAATCAGCAGTGTTTAAACTTGCCAATGGTGAACTATCTGAAAAAGAAATCAAGAAGCAATCCTATTTACAACAGCTACAAAATATAAAATACCTAGGAAGCAATCTAACCAAAGAAGTGAAAGATCAATGTAAGAAAAACTATAAAACTCTGATGAAAAAAATTGAAGAGAATATAAAAAATGGAAGGATATTCCATGCTCATGGATTAGAAGACTTAATACTGTTAAAATGGCAATACTACCCAAAGCAATTTACAAATTCAATGGAATCCCTAACAAAATACCTATGACTATCTTCACAGAATTAGAAAAAATGTCCTCAAATTTACATGGAACTACAAAAGACCCCGAATAGCCAAAGTCATCCTGACTAAAAAGAACAAAGCTGGACGCATCACACTACCTGACTTCAAAATTTACTACAAAGCTATAATAACCAAAACAGCATGGTACTGGCATAAAAGTAGACACATAAACGATGGAACAGAATAGATGATCCAGATATAAATCCACATATACAGCCAACTCATCTTTGACAAAGGTGCCAAGAACATTCAATGGGGAACAGTCTTTTCAGTAAAGGGTGTAGGGAAAACTGGATAACTATATGAGACCAATGAAATTAGACCTGTATTTCTCACTATCCACAGAAATCAAATCAAAATGGATTAAAGACTTAAAAATATAAGACCTGTAACTATGAAACCACCAGAAGAAAACACTGGGGAAATGCTCCAGGAGATTGGTCTGAGCAAAGTTTTTTTGTGTATAAGACCTCAAAAGCATAGGCAATCAAAACCAAAATAGACAAATGGGATTACATCCAGCCAAAAAAACTTCTGCACAGCAAAGGAAAAAAGTAACAAAGAGCCTTCAGGATAGGAGAAAAAAATTTGCAAAGTGTCTACCTGACAAGGTATTATTAACCACAATATCTAAGGAACTCAAACAACTCAATAGCTAGAGAAAATGAGATTTAAAAATGGACAAAAGATCTGAACAGATATTTCTCAAAAGACGACATACAAATGGCCAATAGGTATATGAAAAAAATGCTCAGTGTCACTAATTAATCACAAATTAATCACAAATCAAGACTACAACTGAGATATCATCTCACCTCAGTTAAAACAGCATATGTCAAAGAGACAGGCAGTAATAGATGCTGGCAAGGATGTGGGGAAAGGAGAATCCTCATAAGCTGTTGGTAGAAATGTAAATTAGTACAGCCACTGTGAAAAACAGTATGGAGGTTCCTCAAAAACTAAAAATAGAACTATCATATGATCCAGCAATTCCATCACTGGATATACGTCCGAAAGAAAGGAAATCGATATATAGAAAAGCCATCTGCACTCCAGTGTTTACTGCAGCACCATTCACAGCAGCCAAAATATGAAATCAACCTAAATGCCCATCAACAGGAGAATGAATTTTTTAGAAAGTGGTATATATACACAATGGAATATTATTCAGCCAGAAAAAAGGAATGAAATCTTGTCATCTGTACCCACACGGATGGAACTAGAGGCTGTTACGTTAAGTGAAACAAGCCAAGCACCAAAAGACAAATACTGTATCTTCTCACTCAAATGTGGGGGCTAAAATGGGATCTCATGAAGATGGGGAGTAGAACGGTGATTATCTGAGGCTGGGAAGGATAGGGAGAAGGGTAGGGAGGAGGAGTGATGAAAGGAATTTTTAAAAAATATAAATATATAATATAAAATGCATATTTTATATAAAAATATAAATGTACTTATTATCACTAAACTGTACACTTAAAAAAGATGGTAAGTTTTATATGTATATTTTACCTCAAAAAAAAATTTTTTTTTTTTTTTGAGACAGAGTCTTGCTCTGTCGCCCAGTCTGGAGTGCAGTGGTGTAATGTCAGCTCACTGAAACCTCTATCTCCCGGGTTCAAGTGATTCTCGTGCCTCAGCCTCCCGAATAGCTGGGATTACAGACGTGCGCCACCACTCAGCTAATTTTTGTATTTTTCGTAGAGACAGGGTTTCACCATGTTGGTCAGGCTGTCCCAAACTCCTGATCTCAGGTGATCCGCTCTCCTCGGCCTCCCAAAAGTCCTGGGATTACAGGCGTGAGCCACTGTGCCTGGCCTCAAATTTTTAGTAAGTATAAAATTGAAAAAAAAAAAAAAAGGCAAATCTGCAAATACTCTAGGAAAAGAAATAAAATAATCAGGTTGCAAATATATAGTTTAATGTTGTGACTTCCAAAGATTTTCACTAATATGCTGATTATATCTCTTCTCTCAACATCTTAGGATTTCTAGTGTGAAACACTTCTGACATATAAGAGGCCAATCACTTGTGGGGACACCAGACTGCTTTACTACATACAAATTAGCACTCTAAAACATTTTGATTCCAGGTTTGAAGTTTTAAGACAAAAGACATTTAAATATGGACTTATTCAAGGCCTGCAGGTAAACCATCCTTTAAAGCTTTTAAAAGAAATGCATTATTCCTGACTATTTAAACATGTACAGGGAAAAGAGTTGAAAATATAGATGTGTATAGGGAGGGAAAGACCTACCTGAAGATCTGCTAAAACACAATGGAATACTATGCAGCTATAAAAAAGGATGAGTTCATGCCCTTTGCAGGGACATGGATGGAAACCATCATTCTCAGCAAACTAACACAGGAACAGAAAACCAAACACCGCATGTTCTCACTCATAAGTGGGAGTCGAACAATGAGAACACACGGACATAGGGAGAGGAACATCACACACTGGGGCCTGTCGGGAGCTGGAGGGCTAGGGGAGGGATAGCATTAGGAGAAATACTTAATGTAGGTGATGGGTTGATGGGTGCAGCAAACCACCATGGCACGTGTATACCTATGTAACAAACCTGCACGTTTTGCACATGTATCCCAGAGCTTAAAGTATAATACTGATGATGATGATAATAATAATAAAAGCAGATCTGCAACATTAGGGTCGGGCGATGCCTGGGGAAATGCAAACTCACTCTAGCCCTTAGGCTTGAAAGAAAAAACAACCACAAGCATAATTAAAGCTGTCAGTTTGCTGCCTATCTTTCCTCTAAATCTAGATAGGACCAATAATCTCCAGCCTGGACTTCAGTGAGTTTCAGTGTTTTAATTAAAAGAAGGAGTTACCAGGCAAGGTTGTGGAATGTCATTCACTGAAAGCCTTAAAATAGCATACATTTTCATCTGCCTGGGGCTAGAATGGGAACAACGGATGACCCCTCATAGCTGCCTCTAGGGCTGAGAGACCAAGGTTAAAGATGATCCTGGAGCAGCTCAGCAAACACGGAGTCATTAGTTTTCTGGCCTGGGCTCACCTCCCTCCGCACCGGGGTGCTGTGCGCTGCAGCAGAGGCGAACTGCTCCAGGGCCTGCTGCTGCTCCTCGCTGGGCGGCTCCGGCACGGGCGCCCCCGCGCGCCCCTGCGCCCCCGCCGCCTCCTGGGGCTCGGCCTCCTGGTCTGGCTTGGATTCCGAGTCTGATCCAGATTCGGTCGTCATGGTTGATTGTTCTGCAAGCAGAAAAAAAAGGGAAGATCAGGTCACTCCGTGCAGCTACCTTCCCTCTGCAAGAAAACTAGGATGCTCACTGTGAACAGCTCAAGAGAACCACAAGGAGAGAGGGAGATGCTACCAAACCCTATCCTATTCCACACACCCGACAGATGACTTGTCAGCTTCACCAATGAGATGGGTGCCCACCAGGGGCTCAAAACTAACATTTATCTAGGAGGAAAAGTTGATTTGTAATGATCACAGGCTTTATTCCTATTAGATGTTTGCCACAACAGATTGTGAAATGACATTAAAGAAATGTCATAATAATGAAGTATCTTATATTCAATTAAAAAAATTTGCTGTATCACCTGCATATATATTTCAGTCGCTTGAATGATTTAATAATGGAAGCACACATTCTTTCTCATTTCCCTCCCCCTCCCTATCTCTACACAGGGGCCTTCCCAACCCCCCGAATCTACAGACACTTCAAGGAACAAATGCCTTTCCCATGTGCTTTCTCCTAATCCAGTTATCCCTCTTTGAGTTAGCAACCGAGCTACAACAGCAGCTTCTTCAGGGACTCGGGATCTGTTCCACTGGCCATAGCTGGAGGGGCACAGGCAGGATCACCTCTCCCTCCCTCCCAAGTTAATTCTCATCTTCTTCCTGGCTTCCCCCTATTTCCCTTGAGTGTTGAAGGGTAAGTTTATCTCATATCTCATAAGGAACTCAAACAACAGATCTTAATATATAATAATCTGCTGATACATCCTTTAAAAAGACCTTCTAAAATATGACCATCTTCCCAAAGATTGCAAGTCAAGATGTTTCAGGATTTCGTGCCTCGGTTTCCACACGTGCCAAATGAGGACACTGAACATGATAATACCTAAATAACTTATTTCTTGCTATTACATTTTTCTCCTACTAAGATATGCCACTATGTTTTAAAAGTAGATTTTTGCTCTAAGTAGCAAGAGAGCTGCTATTATGCCAAATAGATACCATGTCATTTTAAGCAATTTCTTTTCTTAGGTATATGGAATAAGTATCTCAAGTACAAATATTTCATTATTGTCATATAATTTCCTTTCCTAATTCTAATTTTATAGTAAAAATATAAGCAAAGGACTAGTGTAGTGCTTTAAGCAAATTATATAATTGGTATAATATAGAATTGTGCAAAAATAAAACTAGTAACTTCTTAGTTCCTAGCTTCACAATATATATATAAATATATTTAATAATTTGAAGAAAAAGGGAACATCACAAATACCAATCTAGGTTATAAACTAAATGCTATATCTGTGTTTTCTATTTAGGATTACTTTCACAATCACCAGATATTCGTTCTGTTGAATAAAAGAGATGTATCAATTTGGCATGTGCTTAGTTGCCCGAAGCATATGTAAATATCAAGTCCAAATACAGAGAAAGGTAGTGATGCAAATAAAATGAACAGACTTTCTTTTTTCCTGTTATAATACATTTTATATGTTCAAGCAAATCTTAAAAGTAAATATTATATTCTCTTTTGTATGCTTATCCTGGAAAATGGCCTAAATATATAGAGAAAACAGTGGAGGAGGAGGAAAGGTCGTGGGGCGCTGCAGAATTTGGAGCCTTTGATCAAATTCCATCTTTTGGAAGGGAAAGAATTAGCTTTAACAGTCAATTCAACGCACCAAACACTTACTGAGTACCAAATATAAGCCAAGCACTGCTTGTGGTTTAGAAAAGAGATGCATCTGTTGTAACCACTACCCCCCATCTCAAGGAGCTCCTAGTCTGTGCTGGAAATATGCTCTCTGGAACCCATGTTCTCCATCTTCTTTTGGTAACTAAGCTTTCAGATTTAGCAGGTGCCCTTCACCCAGCTTGAGACTACAATGAGCTGTGGCTGTGGATTAAGACTTGACCAAGGAGACAACAGAAAAAATAAATGCACTCAATGTTTAGGTCATCTTCAGAAAGACAAAGCCACTTGCCCTAGATTTCCCTTTCCCACTGGCTGGATATGCAAGTCTTAAACCCAATCCTGGACATGTCACATTCAGGGGAATGACAGAGCCACCCGCTCCAGCATGGGTCTCTGGATGACCTCCTGGTCCACGACCCACCTACTCTGGACTGTGATGTGAGGTAGAAATCAACAACTTTAGCTTGCATTCATTTGCTCAGGAAATTGCTCATTCTATTTCCTGAGAAAATGAATATCCCATGATTTTAGTGTTATCCTCCTAGTCGGGAAACCATTTTGCATCTGCTTTTGTCTTAAATCCAGGACCATCTCCAGAGAGCCAGCAGTACACACACTAAATAAAAATGTAAAATGGATAGAGTCCAACAACCACCTACCAACTATCTAAAGAACAAAATAATGTACCATTATCATCTATGACTATACCATATAATACCTTACCTGCTGTATATCACACAAATCACAGCAGCTCATACCTCAAAATAATCTACTATGCCCTTGTCACGTATTTCCTAGGTATATTAATTTTCCAGCACTAAAGGCATAATATAATAAATGCAAATCATTGCCGTTTTGGCCAATTTTAATAAAATAATACTGTCAAGGCTACTGACAGATAAAGTAATAAAACTTTGAAATGAACAGTTTTTTAATGCTGGAATCTCACTAGAATCAATATCTAATTCCACATTTCTCAAAGGACATAAGCTCTTATTATTCCTACAAATAAACCAGTATGGATGGCCTAGATCAGCAAATTCTATTTCAAAACTTGTTTCCTCTTCCCTACCCATATACCAGTGTAAGCAAGCAATAACCTGATTTGTAATGGGAAACTATTATAAACATCTAAATACAATATGTCTGGCTGGGCGCAGTGGCTCACGCCTGTAATCCCAGCACGTTGGGAGGCCCAGGCGGGCGGATCACTTGAGGTAAGGAGTTCAGGACCAGCCTGAACAACATGGTGAAACCCTGTCTCTACTAAAAATACAAAAATTAACCAGGCGTGGTGGTGCTTGCCTGTAATCCCAGCTACTTGGGAGGCTGAGGCACAAGAATTTCTTGAACCTAGGAGGCAGAAGTTGCAGTGAGCTGAGATCGCACTACTGTGCTCCAGCCTGGGTGACACAGAGAGACTCTGTCTCAAAAAAATAAATACAAGACAAGACAAGACAATAAAATACGTCTAACTTCAACTCATTATTTTAGTAAGTTTATAGTGTGCTCCTTCACTCTTAAACCCAAATGCTAAAACATTTATTTTAAACTAGATTTTCAAGATATTTACACTGCTTTGGTTCTTCTTTTTCTTATACTTATTCCTTGCTTTCTAGGTGCTTGCCATTTAAAATCACAGCCTTCCCTTTCCAACTAACTAAAAACTATTGTTTTCCAAAGTTCCCGTCTCTTCTGATAGGTTCACTTTGCACCAAACTATCTGCCAATTATTTGGGTTACTGGAAGCAAATATCATCACTTGAAATCCCAAATAGAAAGTGATACAAAATGTATTTATGCTTAGTTTTTACTGAAACTGTCCTTTCTTTATACTAAATTTACCTTACAATTGTGTTTTGCTCAGACTTTAAAGGTTTGGATTCCTAGAAACTCTAAATCCTAAAAGTTGGGGTAAGGACATTCATAAGTATGCTAGGCAGATGGCAAGAGGAGTCCTTAATTTTTTTTAAAGAAACGTAAATCATACTTCAATATGCCTCTCTCAGGAATATATTTATTAAATGAACACCAAAAGAAAAAGTAATGAGCTTCAAAGGATGCCTGTGCAGGTGTGAATGAAATCATCTTCACAATCTCCAACCTAATTCACCTATAAAAACACAGCCATTGTCATGCATTTTGGGCTTTGATCCTTTTCAGCTCTAATTTTTTATTCCGCAGAAGTAAGAAAAAAAAGTCAGTTAATCCTCATCTTTTCCACTTTTAGAAGTGGCAGCTCTAAAATCTCCATCTCCTAACTAAATGACTGCTAAATTAGTTTCTGTATTCAAATTTACCTACCTCTCTTGCTGACATGAAAATTCAGTGGCATTTTAGTAAAAGACACAAACTAAAGATTTAGTGAAGGAAAATGCTTAATATAAATTTCTGTCATTTATGTGTAAGACAGGATTCCTACAGAATAACAAAGCACTTCATAAAAGAAAACCTCTCTGTACCATTTACCTGTCTAACGAGGATATAGGACTCAAATGAACAAACTTTTTAACACCAACCTTTTTTTCTTTCATATTCCAAATGTAAATTTATAGGAGAAGTGGGTCCTACTTAGCGTAAGTATTTGTGACTACTGAGTACTATCCACCAGTCTGCTAAAAACCATCAGTTGCTAGCAAGCTAGAAGACAGTAATATTCTTTGGCCCTTCTACTGAATTTTTTCTAACTGCATGAAAAAAAAAAAGCCCTAGTATCATCCATCCAAAAAGAAAATTCCCAAAAGAAACCAAACGACCAAATGGTCTCACATTCCACTCTCCTACTCCCTCTAGTAGGGCCCTACCTCTCTACTTTTCTGCGGTGCCAAGCTTCTGGAAGGAATTTTCTTCTCCTGCTGTCATCACATCCTCCCACTCACTCACCCTTCAGTATATTTCTCATAATTCTAGTAACCTTGCTAAGGTGACCATGACCTCCCTACAAGCCAATTCATCCTAGGTGGCATCCCTTCTCATCTTTCAGTTCTCCAGGTTTGACACCCTCTTGGTTTCCTTCTATCTTTTCTGGCTACTCTTCCTTATTTCCGCTTGTCTCTGCATATCCCATTTCTCATATTCTATTTCTAAACGTCGCAATTCTTTATGAATCCGTCTCACTCTTCAAATCCTCTTTCTTGGAGAGCTCATCCACTTCATTTCAAATATGATGACAATTCCAAATTTTGTGACCTCTCACTGAGCTTCAGATCCATAAATACAACTCTTCTTCTCACTTTTTTACCTGGCTATCTCAGAAGCACCTAAAACTGAACATTTTTCCATCCAAACCTTTGATATCTGCACCACCCCCTA